AATCACTGCCTTTATGTGCAAACTGTGTCTAGCAGACGTGTGCACAGCTATAGTTATGAATTCCTCTGGTCTGGGAGGTCACATTGCCAGGAAACGAGGCAGGATGTGGCAAAACGTCTACTCTGCTGCCTCTACACCTGAATTAAGCTTTCATCTTCTCTCTGTCTCATCCTTGTCTTCCTGTGCAGCAGTGCACCAACCCACACAACGTGAGCTTCAAGAAAACAAATCAGTTGCTGCAACCAGGGAAAAAAGTCTGCAAAAGGGCAATTTCATATTTGTGGGCAAAAAAAAAAAGATATGCAGTTCACACTCAAGCTTTCCACTGCAATCAGTTGGTCTGCAGTGTCAACACGAGCATTCCCAGTGCTTTATTCTGTCTTTCCTCAGTGTTTCCCATCTGTTGCATTTATCCTGAACATCATGTCAATTTTTCCCCATTGATTTTCTGGTCAGGAGAGATGAACCAAAACCAGCTGTTCAGATGTGATTAACACACATAAGTTTTGCCCCTTTGAAAATATTAGTAGGTGGCTGACCTTACTCCAGTTGCTGATTTTGGCACCAATGGTGTCAAAGTGCTGTTGTTTTTAACTGATTTGTAACTTGTGCGCTGAAAGGTAAATGCAATCAGAGGTGCACATCATACATGCATGTAAGCCTGGAGGGAGGCATTTGCACACAGTAAGTTTTCAGAGTTTTTTTCGCAGAAAACTCTGTAGGTTCACGTCTACAAGCGACCCCATCTCAGATTGTAGAAGTGTTATCACATTTCATTTCGTTATTATAAAAAAATACAGCTGTGCATTGTTAGTCCACTGTGGGAAAGAAATGATTACGTACAGGCCAGTCACTTGCCAACGTTAAGAGTTAAGATTTTTTGTAAATGCATGAATTTGATTTTTGTATGGTTTGTGAAAGACATTGCTCCTCTTCTTCATCCTCTTTTTCATGTTGCCTACAGTTAAGTTAGTCAAGCTGAAATTACACATGTGCCTTCAATCCAGCAAAATAAACAATAAACAAACAACATTCACTTCACCTTATGGGGGTCTGTTCTGTCCGAAGCTCAAAAACTAAAGCTAACTTTATAGCACATAATGTGATAACTGACTAAAATCCAAGTTGCGGATTCTCAACAAGGCCACACACCACTTCCTCTCCAGGGCTCTTTGCCATGTGTTGTCTTTAGATTACAAACAAGGCAATGAGATCTCAAGCCTATTCTGATGTCTTATTTTTATCCCTCCTTCAGTGTTTTTCTCTGTTGCCAAAAGGATTAGGAACTTATCTTTTAATACCGTTCGAGCGTCAGCCCTGCACGTCATCCTGCAGTCCTGAGGTAAATGACTTCCAGAACCAATGTTTGGGAACCCACTGATCCTCCTCTGTCAGGCCACAGAGGAGATGTTTGTCCTTTTTGTTAACCACAGTAGTTGATGTGGCAGAAATGCCAGCAGTAGTAAGGGAGAGAGAAAGGGACGTGGGTGGTGTGTTTAAATCAACCGGAGCAATGGGGCTGTTTAGTTTTATGAGGTGCGAGACCTTTGCTGCTCCATTCAGACTGCCTTACACTGAGGTCACCGCAAACGGAGTCGAGATCACACCAGTGTGTGACCTAGGCTCACCGCCATTATGCCGCTGCACGAATGATTTATAGAGTTAGCATGACATCATGTATTAAATCAGCCTGCTGTTAGTTTTTCCTAACCCTTTAAGTGGTACACGCTATCTGCCCTATCAAATTAGGGCCTGTCAGGGCAGAGACATGGAGCTTTTTGCCAAAGAATCAGTTGCTTGTTAATTACAAATTGCACAACACATAACAGATACGATATGTATTGCAGCCCTCTATAAGCAACCAAAGTAGACAGGGAACACTTATCAACTGAGGTGAGATTACCAAGTAGCCCACCTGAGTCTGAACCCATTCATTACGTGAATCCTCTCTCTGCATAAACAATGGTTTACAACTAAGACCCATAAACTGATAATTTAGACAGCTTGCAATCACACTCTGTAAGGATTCAGTGTTTTGCAATTTTGCAGATGTAGTCCTTTAGACTTTGTTAACATGCCATATTTCAAAGAAAAAGTTGATGGCTTTGTCATTCTCACGAAATGTTGCTTGTATAAAAAGCTACTATCAGCTGCCATCGGGTGAGCAAAACAAGGGAAAACCAGGGAAAGGAAGCAATGAAAAAGACTCAAAACATTTTATCTGAGAGCTATTTGACTTTCATACATCACCTCTTCCAAACATTCTCTAACAAAAACACCTCATCAGTTAGACATTTGCTGGTGCCTGATGATGGCCTACTTCCTCAGTCATACCTTCTACCCCTTATAAGAAAGGGGTGGAAACGGGTCATTGTGGCCCTTCAAACAGAAAGGAAAAGTCTGGGATGTTATCAGAGTAGGGGATCTTAACATAACTACGCAGGCCTTCAAGCAGACTCATAAAGGAACAGCAGAAAAGATTTAACAGCACAGTGTCACAAAGTCATGAGAGAAAAACACTTACATGATGAGACCTCCACCCACCCCAACCCACTCTTTTTATACGCCTATTGGCGACAAAAACGAGAGGGGAGAAAGGACATCTTTGAAAATGTGGACAAAAGACTGTCTGTCTCTCTAACACATTTACCTAAGGGAGTCATAAGAGAACTTAATAGTGTACATTTACCCAGGTCCTGCAATGGTCACTTCTTTACACCAGACTGTCTTCGTCGCTCCACCCACAACCCCCTCTGACTCTTCAGCAGCTCAGACCTGAGTGAGGATGAGATGCCTGCTCTATGTGTTGTAGTTAAGAAATGACACTATCTGTGCACGTCACTATCATGGATACAAACTCAGGAAGAGGTTAACACATTATCACACACCCTTGTATCCTAGTTAAAGCCATTGGATCCCTCCTTTACATCACATCAGATCCATATCTTGAACACTTTCTTGGAACGGACCCAGGCGTTACTCTACAGTCGAGGTCTTGTAAGAAACAAGGGTTGTGTTTTCTGACCCAGTCATGACAAGGCCTATTTGTTCCAGTGGCTTGGAAAGTGTTTGCGTTCCCCAGGTCACGGCTGAACTTCTCATATTTATGTTAGCTAAACTGCAGGCTGGCAGGCTAATTCACTGGTATGTGTTTTCATTAGGTCTCCGGGGCTGGATAGAGCTCCCTCACTAACGTGGCTCCTCTGAACTCTGACCTCAGCTTTAATGGGAAGGCTGGCAGAGAAAGAGGGTCGAGGCTTCGGAGTGGGCTCACTTAGACTTAAGGTAACAATTTGAGGAGGCGTAACAGGTTATGTAACCTTGTCGCTGGACACTAATGACTCGGTAGGGCCTGAGGAATGTCCACTCTCAATAGATCTCTTTTACATCAGTTGCTGTTTGTGGCAACAAAATTAGCTTTGGTATGGTAAGATTGGACAAATCCTGCTCTGTGTGCTAGATAACAGCGATGTAGGGCATGTGACCAACAACTAGCTATGTGCTCAGCCATGGGCCATAAAACTAGTACAGAGGGACCTGTCATCCTGTCATCTCCTCTTTTTCTTCACTGCTTCCTTTCCCTTCCCTCAAGGCAGCCCAAATAGTCAAGTCCTCATTTGGAAACATGAGGAACACAGGCTGATATGAGTCGTTCCTTTCTTCAGGAAAATAATGTGACCACTTTTATGATGGCAAGAGTGCTAAAACAAAAAGTTAACCATCAATAAACTGTTTTAAAAAAATATTTGGGTTGTAGGCAGTTGATCACATAAAAATTTGAAGTAGTTATCTCATTAATTCAGTCTCTTACTACATGATTACGCAAAAAATCAACATGAAAATAATGCAACAGGGTATAGCAATGCTTTTGAGGAAGGTAAAATGTATCATGCTGAAGATTTTCTGTGTGTGTGCTGTTTGGTTTGCTCAGGGGCAGTCCAGGCCTTGGTCTTTCTAACAGCTTCACAGTTTCACAGTTTTAGCTTCAGCAAGCCCCTTGAGCTTAGGTGACACATTTCCCATGGAGTCCAGGTCATTGTCACATTTGTCCACTCTGCAGGCCATAAATACCAATCACTTTTCCTCATCGGCTTGTGTTAATGTTCACTATCCTGGCCACAGGGTGACTTGTGTAGTCTCGATTTCTATTTCTGGTTCAGATATTAGATAACAGAGAAAAAACCCTGAATCACCCAATCATCACTGGACTTTCCATTCCAAGCAAAGTATCTTTGGCTTCGGCATGCATGCTGATGAGTTGTCTAATAGGATGCTTTGAATTCTTCTTTAATGACACACAGGTTCAATGGGCAGACAAACAACTCTCCCACAGATAAGAAAAAAAAAGCTCTGCAAAAAAAAAAAAAAGCTCTCATACCTGATGAGCAGCTTCACATTCAGGACATTGTGTGAGAAAAAGTCCTGTAGCACAGCCAAACCCAGAACAAGCAGCAGGTAAACAGAATGATAAATTCAAACATGCCTAAAATGTTTGTGTAAAATGTGTTTGTGCATTTGTTTTACTCTGAATATGAACATCTATTTGAACACTTTTGTTTTGCCTTTATGTTTAATTAGAAGTAAACTCTACCATTTAAGTGTCTTATTAATTAGACTCAGCAAAGAAATTTCAACTCTTTATTACTTTATTTTTTTAGACTTTACCTGAATAAATGTCTGTTAATTTAAACTGATATAGTGCATTATTAGACTGCTGTAAATTGCAAGGGGGGTTCAATGCACAGTATGTTGCGTGTGTGTGTTAAGAAGGCAGTCAGTTCATGTTTAATCATTATCATTTTCTCTTCATAAGAACTAATAACATGAAACTGATGATACAAGTCTCTGTTTGTCTTTGTGTACCTGCAGCTCCTGTCACTTCAAAACGCACCACTTCCCAGCTGGCTTGCACCTTGGGTCCCTCCTCTTCAGCCAATGCATTGGCTTCCACTGCTGTACGTCAGCGCACAGGGGGCCGGCCCTGCAGAGGAGTTTATTGTCAGGAATGTGTAGTAGCACTCAAACTAATTTACCGCACCGACTCTGTCGCACTCCCGCAGGGCATCACCCTCTTGTTTGGGACGCGCTTTCTGGATTATCTCCCCGTAGTTTGACACAACAGCTGTTCCCTCTAGTCGACCCTTTTATCATGCAAGTTTTTACTTGAGCGCATCAGAAAATCGCCTCTGTTGTATTTTTTAATTTTTGGTGGAGGAATCCTGTTTCACTTCAAATTCGACTTCAATGCCAGATTCAGCGATGATGAGCAAAAACGGAATGCTGACAACGATCCACACGAGGATAAGTGCCGACCCTTTCACAGCCAATTACGACTTGGCCGGCAAAGAGCTGGGCAGGTGAGTTGGTTTGAATGGTTTCCTGCAACGCTGATAAAAAAAAAAAAGCCCAATCTGTGCGCTGACTTTGTTCGTGTGCTGGCATAATGGAATTTGCAGCAATATCAAGATAATCTCATGTAAATCTGCTAATCACATTAGATTTGCTCTGTGCACGTGTAAATGGGAAGCGTGTCAATTGAACGTTTCCAATCCCGCATTCCGTCCCCGAGGAATGGCGCAGATGGAGACGCGCTTTGGCACGCGTAATGGTAATGAGGTTTGGTGCGTCCTGGGTGGACGTTGTTGGAAAGATTAGGTAGAGAGCAATGCGTTTTGTGAAAATGCTGGGGCAAAAACGTTTTGTAAGATGAAGAAAGGACTTAAACCTAAGTTTGCCCTTCCACCGTTTATGTGTCTGCCATCTGAGGTGAAAGCATGACATTTTGCTTTGGGGTTTGAAACCTGTGTAGCTGCTTCTGTTGATGCTCACTTGTGTGGTCTAGGAAATCCTAGTGTATGTGGTGGTGAAAATGTAAACTTCCTCCTAATGCCATAGCTGAACTTAAGTGTTAGTTTGGAGTCCTATTTTTAACCTGTCACTTTATTACAGTGAAAAAATGAACAACTAAGCTAATGAGAGGACGGTATATGAAAACACAAAGTGACCCCTACGGCTTTTTTAGACATTTTGTATATATTTTTAACATAAATTAGAACCCATGTGGTGTATAGCCTTAGGGCCTGTTCTCCTTTCCCATACCTATTTCCCAGGAGATGCAGCATGAAATATGGCATCTACTGTCACTGTTTCCTCTCTCTCTCTTCGGCCAAATGCATTTTGTGGGTCACACTCACTGATATGTGGATCCCAGATACAGAAGTGCACATTCCAGTGGCATTTAAGCGGGGATTCCCCAGTGTGCCAGACGATAATGACTTTTCTCATAAAGCATTTTGAATTAACACAAGGAGCTGCAGTTCACTTCTTGGGTTTCACTTATCTCGACAGCTGTTTGATTGCCGTATGTGCCAATTCTGCATCTGTCTCTATAACAGCAATTTTTGGGTTTGCTTCTGTGCAGAGTGTGGTGGGACAGACTAAATAAAGATTCAATTGGTAGCAGCCAGTTTTCCTTGTCAGCCACCCTGGGACATCCTGGGACAGCAGCCGGGACCTGTAGGGTTGGCTTGAGGCTACCTATGAAGAGTAGGCCACAGCAGCCTCTGAACACCCCCTCTCCCTTCTCTCACCCTCATACCTCAACCCTACATACTCTTTCCGTCCTCTTCCCATGAGTCCGACCCAACAACATCCTGAGATCAGGCCTCATAATCCCATTAAGTGAAGGAATGTACGTAATGCTGCATGCCAGCAGATCAGTTATATAGTCTGTACATTAGGAGGGATGTTGACCATATTAGAACTTGTCGGTGCTTGAGCTGAATTCTTCCACCAAAAGCTTCTTTCAACTCCCTTGAAGTTTAAAGGAGCAATAAGGCTCATTGGCCTCATTTTCAAAACCTTCTTATCACCGTCAAGCATTGCATTGTGAGTTGTGGTCCCCTGCAGACCTGTGCACAAACATATGTTGTGGCCAACTCGAAAACAGGAAGAGGAACTCATGTTGTCAGTCTGTCTGTGAACCAGGCAAATGAGAGCTGTGAGGGCTGTCATTTCTCATTGCACTTCAGACATGAGTCAGTTCCCCGCTGAGGGAGACAAAACGCAGACTCCACAGGAAACCAATTTCTCAATCAAATTATCACCATCTCCAGTGCTGGAGAGGAATTAGTTTTGTGTGTCACAGTCAAGATTCTGATTGATAACAGACTAGTTTCAGACAGTTTAGATGGACTACTTTCTACTGAGGATAACCCTGCAAATGAGCTGTTTCATCTGCATAATTATGTTTGTGGATCCAGGCAGAATGTTTGAGAAAGCACTCATTAGCGTTAGTCAGAGTTTGGTTGAGTGTTTTATTGCAAAAAAGGAAGTAGACTGCATGCGTAAAAGTATTGCATTTAAGCAGTGATGTTATGTAGCAGGAAGTTGTGTGCATCTGTCTATAGTAACATGGCAGAGTGTGAACGTAGCCGGCTGGAAGATGGCCATGTTTAGTAACCTCTGACCTGTTGTCAGCCAGATGAAAAGACCTCCTGTTGCTCTTTTCTGTGGCCACCGGTCATTCCTTTTCTCCCCGTATGTAGTTCCCAGCCCATAGTGAGCTGCTCTGAACTTGGCTAATTAAGGAGGAAAAGGCTCTGGTGGGTTTTGCCTTTTCACTCTGAACAATGAGTCGTCACCATTCTGCGAGACTGTGAAACGGCAAAAGAGAAGAAACAGGCCTCACAGCAGCTGGGGTGGTAGCCAAAACAGAGCCAGGCTCTGGCCAGAACAGTTGCTGTTTTTGGTCCGCAGCACAGTGGGCTTGGAGCAATGCTGTGTGGGAAAATGACTGGCACCATGCTGACTTGGCCACCTCATTTAGATTCTGCCCAGTTGACAGTCATCTTTTCACATCCTGTGGTCAGGTTTTCTAATCCAATCTGTATTGTGTAGCTCACTGAAACATTGAGATTTTAGTTGGATATAGATGTTGAGGTTATAGTGTCCATTTAAGCATGCTGCTTAGGCTCCAACCTGACTGTAACAGCAGTGACCCCCTGCCTGGCCTCCCCAACCACGGTCAGGTGGGTGGTCCAGCTCTCGGGGGCCGCTGTGTTAGTTGACTGGTCAGCTTTTGTACGATTGTCAAAGAAGAAGCAGGCTCTGGCCAAGGGTCTGGGTGGAGGTGTCAACACAATTCCATTTGTCCCTGCTGCTGTCAGCTGTGAAGAAAGGGAAGTGAACAAGGCCTCATTATCAGCCTGGGAGGGTCGGCTGGAGATTGTGGTCGCCTTGACACAGAGAGGCAATTCTGCACACATCGGACATCCTGCCCGCACCCACGTCTGACCCTTAACACCTCCTATGAATTCATCAATGCATATGCAGAAAAATGAATGGAAGTGATGAGGTTGTAAAAGTGGATGTCTTTTAATCTTACATGTTACCAGTGACAATCTGCTGCATCTCTTTCTTATTTGTTTGACCTATAAAGTGGCGTTTGCATTATCAGGTCCCTGCCCACTATTCAGCAGCTCTTGCCAAAACTGTCAGGCTTATCTGCCTCCTGTCAGGCTCTCCTGAAGTTTAGAGGAAAAGGAGGAGAAAGGGGGAAATCTTTACCGAATGTCGAATGACGCTTTCCTCAGCTGAGCGTATCTGTGGTCAATAGCAGTAGGCTTTATTTTCAAATGATGCCACTTAAGCCTTATCTCTGAGCTGTACTTCAACCTCACCCACAGTGCACTCGTGGCTGGCTGGCGGGTTTTCCCAACCATCTTGCACTGTAATCTAGGTTTCACCTCATAGCAGTTTAACTGTCATGACTATGTCCAGTAATTTTAGCCTTTCATTTGCTGCAGTTTGAATGACCTAAATTTAATCCAGTGGTCCAGTTGGCTACTTGGAAACAGAACAGAACCATGTCTGACCAAATGTATTTGAAAAGCCAGTAATGTGGTTATGATTATTCTGTCTCCTCACTAATCGCACTCTCGCTCTCTTCCCTCTTTGTGTCCTAGGGGAAAGTTTGCGGTGGTAAAAAAGTGCATTGAGAAGGCAACGGGGAAGCAGTATGCTGCCAAGTTCTTGCGAAAGCGACGGAGGGGCAAGGACTGTCGCATGGACATCTTAAACGAGATCGCCGTGCTGGAGTCGGCCAAGGCAAACCCCTATGTGGTGGCACTGCACGAGGTCTACGAAACCAACACCGAAATCATCCTCGTTCTGGAGTGGTAAGACAATACTGTAGATTTTATACAAACATCACAAAGGTCTTCAAAGGTTCTACAGATACTCAAACCTTTATGCACACACCATTGCACAGCCAAGTGATGTCAGAAGAAAGTGATGGTGGTAATCTAAATGGCCTTTTAAACTTTTCTCACTTGACAGCGTTTGAGCCATGCCAGGAAAACTGGAATGAAATGATTAAACTCTCAATCGTTAGGGAGATGGAAATCCTTTAATCATCACTCACTAAAAACTTTACATGACTGGAGTTTTTCTCAAGCAGAATGTCTGAGGGATTTGAGGACAGCAAACTGGCTTCTAGAGAATAAGCAACAAGTCTTACGCACACGTCAAGCAACATCCTGTGTTTTGCATGATGGGAATGTCACTGCTTTGGTGTTCTCATCAGTCAGCTTCTATATGTCTGTCTGATCTGTGAGGGGGAAAAAAACCCTTACTGGCTGTTGCTGACAAAACCAACATATGCACGTGTGAAATGCGACGCCTTGCACTATTGTTACATGAGGTCTGCCTTAAATGGAAATTCTCTCTCTCTCTGTGGTTAGTCGCTCGTCTCGTAGCCTCAACACAGTTTCTTGTTATGCTGAATCGCTGTCAGGAACTGTCACTTTAAATACCAACGTGGCAGAACTGCACCATTTTCACTGTGTGAAAATGACAACGGCAAGCTACAAATGAGTCAGTTAGACCAGTACTCTAGACAGTTTGTTGCCTATCAACATTCAGGTGAACTGGTGAGCAGCTGAGTCAAGCTGCTTGTTCAGTGACCCAGCAAAGTCACCGCGTCTGTCTGGCCCTGATCTGCTGTGGTTGGGTGTTAAATGACATGATGCGTATCAAGTAAGTGTCTGACTGCTCTAATGACAGCCTCTAATTAGGATTTGGAAAGGACACTTAGCATCCTAATTACCTCACTCGCCTCATTACAGGGAGATAACACTGGGCAATTACGCTTGAACCACATTCCCCTGACCCTGTTCCTGAACTGCTCGCTGCTCTCCTGCTCAGTCCCCGGTAGTCATCCCCATTCCAGACATGGAATGCCTCCACAGAACAAAGGCCACTCTGTAGGGGGGGCTGTGATTGACCTCTGACTGAAGTGTGAAAGGGGAAGTAGCACCACAGTTCACCCCTGCATGCCTGCAGAGAAAACATAGCAGGAGGTCAGTCGGCACTGGTCCACAGTTCCTCTTCGGCTGCCAAATGGAGCTGCTCCGGCAAGTCTTTGAGCATAAAATCAAGCAGCTTGCACATGCATAATATTTTTGCATTATTTTAGCTTGATTTTTTAATGTCAACACATTAGTGAGTTATTTCCTCTTGCACTGTACATTCGTCCTAAAGAGCTGCATGAGCACTCGCAGTGCTAAAAGCTGCATCTTCAGTCTCTCTGACCTCAGCATGAGTTTCAAGAATTGCAAACCATTTTCCATTTCCTGTGGGTTTAAATGTAAGCAGCAAGCAAGGCTCCCAAAAGTAGCACACCACCATGCTGGTAGTGTTGTCACACGCACACACACTTCTCATAGCCACAACCACATCCTTGGTAATGTCAGAGAAATAGAAGCGAGAAGTTGAATCCTAATCATCTTTTAAAGTGTAACTCCAGCGTGCGTCAGTACGCTAGAAAACCCCAGAATAGTTTGCGAAATGGTCACTTTGATAAAAAATGAATGTGCATCACCTCTGAGCTGTAAAACTTGTTTTGTGCACAGGAGCTAAAACAGTCTCGGTGATGAATTCTCCAGGAAGCAGTCTTTAATTTCCTGCTTTTCTACTTGTACAAAAGTGTATTGTGAAAAGGTGGACTTTAATTGGACTATAGAGTACAAGCGCTGTTCAGAAAATTCAGCCAACAGACAGGTTAGACGTGTGGAAACATGGAAAGAGATCATCTGTTCTTGGCTCTTGTTTTCCAATGGTTGTTTAGCTTCTCCTTGCTCTCACTCCTGTTGGCTGCAGTGGGTTTTGTCTTGCTGCTTGATGCAGGGGAGGATGTCTCCTACACACTGAAGCAGTGTGTACATTAACTCTCTTGGAAGGAGGGAGAGCGTGGAGACAATATTTAGACTTCAGGGAAGTCTATCAGATCATTCCTAAGTGCTTGGCCAGAATGTGTGCAGTCTGTTGAATTTAAACAAGATGGCCTTTATCACATTTTAAATCCTTTGAGGTATTCTGCTGACAGCTTAATGAAGCTATTGAAATACTTTGTCATGTCAAGCCTTTAATTATTCAGACAGGTAAAATAATAGGTCAAATTCATGTTAAGTTGACAGATTCAAGTTCACACCAACATAATAAGAGGCATGAGGGGTTTTCTATTGCAGTTTTCAACAATAAAAGCATTTGTCAAACCACGCTCATATGTCTTTCATTTCCTCTCCCAAATGAAAACAGTACCACCAGAGCATGTTTGTAACAAGTGGGGTAGGTGGCAGGTCAAGTAGTTGGTGCTGGGAGCAAAAAAAGAAAAGATTATATGGACCAATGACGGATATCCTCAAAATTCCCAAAAAACATGGGTGCTATTTTCACAGCTGAGGATAGTAAAGAGTGCAGGGTTAGGAGGCTAACAGGGGATTGGATGGTGCTGGTTATGTAACAGTCGTGCCCAGGGCCTGGTCACAGTTTTCCTCTGAAGATAAAAAACATATGCACCATCTAAATCCCCCACACATGGCTTTAGTTTTTTGGGTGAACTGTCAGCTTCAGGCATTGATCTGACTGATGTAGCATCCATCGTAAATCCACCATGTCTCCACTTCACTTAATGTTGTTACACAAGCGCGGCAAGACCAGGCAGGAATCTGACTATTCCTTCCACAAAAATGTGAGAAGTCACCATTAAGATGTCTAATTACTAAATTCCAAAAAGGATAATCCCTTACACGTAAGTTGTTTTGAGCAAACAAGCAAAAAAAAAAAACTATGCAGACTGAGGCTCATACAGTATCTAGTTACCAGCCTGACACTCCTCCCCTCCCCTGCCACATTCTCTGGCTACTTTTTTAATCTTTTTTTACTTGAAGGAAATGTTTAGGCTCTGATTAGTTGGCCAGCTTTTGCTTCTGTTTGCCCTGTTTTGATTTAGTCCGTTAACCTGCAGTATATCAGGCTGTATAAGGTCTTATCTGAACCTGCGGTAGGCTGATACGCCGTTCTTATCTCCCTTGTAATATTCCCAGGAAGGGGAATGTACATGCAGAGGCAGGGTGCCTAAAATGATATTGATTCATGTTGGACACGCATGCAGTGTGTTGATGTGGATGGACTTCATGCCTCCAAGCCAAAGTACACTAATGAGGGTGTTACGTAATTCTAAAGAAAATGGAAATGACTTTGGGTTTGTTCACTAAAATTGTACTAATGGGATGGGTTGGAATTTGCTATTGTCAACATGTCTGATTCAGAACTGAGAGGAAGGGCGTATTTGTACAGTTTAAGGCACAATTTATTTTGAAAAGTTAAAATGAATAATCAAAAATGAAAGTAAGCCAAACTAAACTCCACTGGGTGGCTATCCATGCACAGTTCCTTTCTTCTCATCTTATCCTTGTTTTGTTTTCTCAGTTTTCCTTCCTGTGCTTTCCTTTCAGCGCTGCCGGTGGAGAAATCTTCGACCAATGTGTAACGGATGACGGCACGGCCTTCACAGAGAAAGATGTGATCCGGCTGGCCAAGCAGATCCTGACTGGAGTGGCCTTCCTGCATCGGAACAATGTGGTGCACCTGGATCTGAAAGTAAGTACACCGAAAGATTATATGACAATATAGGATGATCTATGCCCTTGAGTGGCAGACTGAGGGAGGTATGATTTCTGTTATGCAACCACAACTCATTCAATGTGTCACGACCCTGTTCCCACGAGGAATCAGTCCGTAAAGCAACCTGACTGAACTATCATGTTTTCTTTACATGTGCCCTGAGGTCACAATGCAGTCTTCACTGAGATTTTCTTTTCTACCTAAGCACCTCCCAAATCAACAAAGTATCTGGTTTCTCATTACACATGTTTTATGATTCTTTTTAAGTGAATAAGTGACTTTAAAATGATCTGTCCAAATACATCACATTCTTAGTTTAGCGGGACAGCTAATACTCTAAAACATTTTGGGTATATATTAACAAAGAGAGATATATTAACAGGAGGAGAATCGCATGCAGTCTTCAGTCACTCTTTTTGTTTGAGAGACTTTTGGCCCTGGCCTGATAGTTGGCCTTGGCCTTGGCCTGTCTTCTCCTCTTGTGTTTATGTCAGAGGTTCAATCCAACTCTGGCATTAGGCCAGTCTGACCAAAGATTAAGCACAATTGTACATACGCTACAGTATTTGCCCACACAAACCATGATCCTAGTGGCTGGCAGAGATTTCCTACCTGTTTACACTCATCTAATAGTCTTAGAGGATGATCTCAGAGGAGCAGCTAGATGCTGACTGACGAACTAGACCCCCACTAAATCCTCTTGGTACCATTTACCTCAAATGCTTTGATTCATTCACGTTGACATCTAATTAATGACCTCAGATGTCAGACCTTGAGCGTCTTGAACAATCATTAGTCATTATGTAATGTACCTCTGTCTAATCTGAGTGTGTGTCCTTACCAGCCCCAGAATATCTTGCTGACCAGTGCCAGACCTCTGGGGGACATTCGTATTGTGGACTTTGGCTTGTCCAGACGCATGGACAACATCACAGAAGTCAGGGAGATCGTGGGTACCCCAGAGTATGTGGGTGAGTCTTGCTTTCAGCCCTTAAATACCCAGAATCACCTGTGTCTTTGAGTTTGTATATGTTTGTGTAATTGAGTGCCATTTATCGTGACAAATTGGGGCCATGTGTTTCTGTTGCAGCACCAGAGATCCTGAACTATGAACCCATTAGCACTGCATCAGACATGTGGTAAGTTTGAGACTATTTCCATCCATTTTAGTGGGTGCCATGCAGAACTCATTTAGTCTATGCTTTACTTCTGAGAATGAAGACGCATTCAGGGCAGTGACACAATGTGCAAAAGATAATCTCGACCTTTGACCGCAAGATTATCTTTACTTCATACTCGCCAGTCAGTTAATGACTAACCACAGTGGAAGACAGCCAAATCTGTTGTGCTTAAAGTGTGTCACAAAACAGATTCTGTAAGATAATAGCTCGCCTCATAACCTCTTTCCTTTTCTTCCTCCCTCTCTGCCAGGAGTATCGGGGTCCTGACCTACGTCATGCTGACGGGCCAGTCTCCCTTCGTGGGTGAAAACAACCAGGAGACATTCCTCAACACCTCTCAGGTCAACATAGACTATACGCAGGACACATTTGAGGGGATCTCCTCCCTGGCTGTTGACTTCATCAAGTCCTTGTTGGTTAAAAACCCCAGGTGAGTAGTAAAGATGTGATCAGATGTTCTGAATATGGTTTAAACGAAAAAAATTCCATCAGCATTACTTTGAGCTGATTTGCACACCAAGGATGTGAGTCAGCTTCACACTGGCACGGAAGTACACATACGCATACGACGAAATGAGTGTATGTGGTAATAAGATTTGCGTCATTTAAGCAAGAATTGATTTCCTTTTTTGTAAGTGGTGGTTGTAAGCTT